ACACCATCTCTTGTAAAGGTGCCAAATAAGGCTCTAAATCCCTTACAGGCCAAGGGGGAATTACTAAATCATTACCACCTCTCTGAAGGTTACCCCAGGAGGTGAAATCTAAGGAATATTAAAATGAAAATAGATTACTTGAATTTTAAGTACAAGATTAAAATTAAAATTAAAGTTTTAACTTTGTTGAAGTCAAAGAAGCAATGAGAAAATTCAGGAATTCCGCTCATTATAAGAACTTCATTAATTTCTATTTTTATTAAAAACTTTAATGAAAAGACTTCATTATTTTAAAACATTCCAAAGTGAAGTCTGATTATTGGCAAGGTTGACCTGAATTGAAATTCAGAACAAAGAACACATTTGAATAATTACTGTGAAATAAGGTAGGCACAGGGAAGCAACTTTTAATATTTGGATTTTTAAATGTATAGCCAGTGCATCGGACCATATGTGGCAGCAATATTTGACGCATGGACAAATGGTAGACTTATAGATAGGAGAGAAAAATGGTCCAGCACAACACAGTGAACCAATGTTTTTAGCTGCAGACCTAGCAATTGATTTAATATAATTTTTCCACTTCATATCAGTTGAGTATGTTAGTCTGAGAAGGTACAAGGAGTCACTCTCCTGGAGGTTAGCATCAGCTATGCTGATTGAAGGCAGAAATGATGCATTAAAATTAACAAACTATTTTTTGCTTAAATTCATAAAGCCTAGGTACCCTAGAAGAAAGTTCATCAGAACAATTACCATGAAAGTATTTATAGAAAAGACACAAGGAAGCTATATTATGGTGGTGGGGGAAAAGACTGAAGCTGAGATGCCAGGTCAGGACTAATAACATTGCAGATTCTTTGGATTTTATCAAGAATTTCTAAATATATAGCAGAAGCACAGACCAGATGTGGCAGCAATATTCAAAGCAAGTATGAATGGTAGACTTATAAATATGTAAGATAGATTCTGGTGAAAAAAATTGTCTAACACAACATAGTGATCCAACTTTCTTAGCTGCAGACTTATAATTGATTTAATATACTCTTTCCACTTTGTCAGCTGAAAACCTTAGTCTGAAAAGGCACAATGAGTGACTCTCTTGGAAGTTAGCATTAGCCATGATGATGGAAGATAAAAAGGGTTCTCTCAGATAATTAAAAGAGAGCAGTTTCATTTTTGAGGTGTTAAAATTTACAAGCCACTTTTTGCCCCATTTAACAACAGATTGTAAGTCAATTTTTTAGATTTTTAGATCAGCTGCCAATTTTGAACTTAAATAATACTATTTTTATGTCCCCCACATTATTTATTATCATTATTAATATAGCAACTAAACACGGTTGTAATCATGAAATAATATAAACAAGTTTTTACTTTGCTATTTTTAATATCTTTGTATATTGTAATTTCCTCAAAATACAACCTTTGCATTCTTTCACAATCATTTTTGACAATATTGATGGTCTTAAAGAAATTTCTACTTCCCTTCATTGTGGATATTCTATTTTGGACTTCAAGACTGATTTTGGATATTTCATATAAAATATCTTATCAGTATGAATTTTTCAAGAAGTATACACATATTTCGTAAAGTTCTAATAAAATTAAGTGTGTGTGTGTGTGTGTGTATATATATATATTCAAGTTAAATAATTTAGATGTATTATGTCTATTTTTAGTTTTAATCCTTTCAAGTCCACAAATTAATTTCTTGGTGGCTGTAGAAAAAAAAAACATGTCTAAATTATTTAACCAAACATGCTTGAAAATGAAAATATGCTGCCTAAATGTACATATTCATTATATATATATATATATATATATATATATATATATATAATCACTAGTTAGTATAAAGTCATTTCATGAAAATACTTTCATTTTTTTTTTTTTTTTTTTTACCTGTTTAATTAACTCAGTTATGAAAAGAGTTGACTCGTACTCATGTTTTAGAAATATGTACTAAGACTTGTGCCAATTATAAAGTCTTATAGGCATTTCGAGTTAATATTTGCATTAAATTAATGATGTGACAGTCCAGTTTTAATTTCACTGAAATTTTGAAAGTTGTCATTTTATGTACCCAAATGAAGAAAAGAAAAATTACTAGTATAATACCTTACATGATTTATTGGATTTTTTTTCCTCAAAGTAACTACCACATTTTTCCCCTTCATTAATTAAAAAAAAATATCTTGTCATATAGTAGTTGAAATCAACCTTAAAAGTTATAACTTGGATCAAATTTTTCTTTTTCCATTTATTCAGCAGTTATGGCAATTCTGTCAAAATGAGGAATATCAAAAAAATAAATATGCTTTGAAGCTTTTGAATTAATATTTAATTTTTATAAATTTTGACTAAAAATTACACTTTCATATTTAAATTATTTTCATAATTACAGAAATGCTAATAATGGTAATATTTTTCAAATCCCATTAAGCATTTTGGTTTTTAGCTGAAACATCTGAATGTATAGTTATAAAATTACTGAATTATTTTTTGTATTTTCAATTTCACATTTTGAAATGAGTTACCTCATGAGAAATATATCAAGTGACAAGTTTGATATTTATCTAGAATTAAAGCAAAAATTGCAAAGTTAAAAAAAATCATCTTCAATTCTTTTCTAAATTTCTTTTAAAAATATCTTCACCTCAAACTCCCCCAAATATAGCCTAATTTTTAGTTACTTTATCATTGAATCTTATAACACAAAATTCATTTTAATAAAAAAATAAAAAAAATAAAAAGCATTACTATTTCCCTATTATGAAAGAACTTTAAACTTTTGTTTTCCAAGATCACGATCAAGATATTCCAAATACAGTGGATTGTAAGTTAATGAATTTGTCTTGTTCGTTTCATTTTATTTTTACAATGTATTTTCAAAGTGGTGATATCATATCTAGGCATTGCAATGACTAGATATTCTGACAACTGGTTTTATCCTTCAGATATTTACCACTTCAGATTTTTTTTCAAAATAATTTTTTTCAATTTAACCTTCTAAACTGACTTGTTTCTCCCTCTTTTTGTGACTAAGATAAATGTTTGGAATTGTTGTAAATGCAGCCCATTGTGAAGTTGCTTCCATAGATAATCTGAAAAGAGAGTACAGAAGAGAATTCTTTTTTGGGGAGTGGGGGTTGTGTCTTGTCTAATTATCTGGTCATTTACTCCTGAGCAATGTTTGTGACCAGTATTTTTATTTTTTTTTTTTATGTCAGAAAATCTTACAAAGCAAACATTAGGTATTCACTCTTCTCTCTTGCTCTTTTCAGGTTGCTTCTTTACTGCAAATTTGTGCTTTTTTTCTCATTGTCTTTTCACATTTTAGATAAAGCAATGTTAAAATGCATAGAAATAGATTTCCTTTCAATCTAATAATTTCAATAATGTACATCAGAAGACATTCAAACACATAAATAATTTAATAGGAATAAAACTGAAAGCTTGGCTGATTAATCTTGGCAAAATCTAAGCAATATGGACATTTTAATTAAAAAAAAATAACAATTTCACAAAGATCTTTAATTTGAAATCTTCCTGCAGATTATTTTGTTTACATATTTCCCATTTTTATGAATGTACATAATTGAAATGTTCTAGATATGGCAAAATAATTTTATACCATTTGTTTCTTTGTTGTTTGCTTTGACATTTTAATATTACTTTTTGGTTGGAGTGCCTTTTTTTTTTTTTTTTTAACCTTCCCTCTCCATTAATGACACTTGAAGTATTAATGATTTTCTATTTTGAGTTGTCACCAACTTGAACTAACAACTCACAGCTTGATGATGCATATTCTTTTAAAAACAACTTTGAACAAGTCTTCCATATCTCTTTAATGTCCATTTTATGATTGGGCAAATTAATTTTAAATTATTTACTGTCATTGTCAAGTAAGCTGGCAGTGTTTTAATTTTTGCTAATCATGAAAATTTAACTACCAAATTGGCTATTTCTTAGACAATTTCGGATTTTTTGTTATCTTCTGTGTCATCAGATTGTAAATTTGGATAGTTTTAAATTATAATTTAAGGAGTTATGTCAGTGAAATTTCCAAAGATTATATTCTATTTAAATTTATTAAAACATTTTTCAATCACTAAAGATTTATAAGTTATTTATCATTATACTTTTTACTTATATTTTGTCTTACTATACAAAAATAAGTATATGAGAAATTCAATACCTTACAATTATTTCCCTGATGACCCATAAACAATATGTAATGAAATGTTACTGAAAATACAACTACCTTTTTAAATACTTAATTTCAAACATACACGATAGGCCAAAAGTTTGAGGACCACACTCTGGATTTAATAATTAGTAAGTTTCATGCCTTCTTAGATTTAATTAACTCCTACTGAAACCTATTTAACCCATTAGTGCATGGTGCCCAATATTTCAGAGAATGGGTTACCTAAATTTTAAAATCCACCAGCCCTAAGATTACCATTAGCCTGCAAGACAGATTAGGCAAAAAGAGGTAAAATTTTAAGGAGACTTTATGAAGTAATGGGTTAATTTTTGAATAAAGGATAAAACATTTCAGGAAGAGGTAGTCTCTCTGGGCTGAAGTGAACTAGTAAATTAGTTTTTGAAAAAAGCATGCAACCTTCTATTTTTTTAGATGACTCTTTGAAATCCAGTGAGTGACCCAAAACTTTTGGCTGATAGTGAAAAGTAGACTTGTTTAGGATTAGAAATTGACTTAAGTAGTCATATATTAATAATGTTCTGGTAATTATTTAATTTCACAGGAATTTTAAACACCTTTTATTTTCTCCATAAATTGTTTTCTTACAATAACTTAGTGTCATATATATATATATATATATATATATATATATATATATATATATATATATATATACACACACACCTATAAATAACACAAATGTTTGATTCTTTTTTTTTTTTTTCTCCCTGTTAAAAATGAGATACATGATTTGTCACTTTCCTAATGTAATTTGTCTTTCTTTCAGAAATGGTCAGAGAGCTGCTTTGAAGATTATCAAAAATGTAGAAAAATACAGAGAAGCTGCAAAGTTAGAAATCAATGTTCTTGAGAAATTAAAAGAGAAAGATCCAAATGGAGATTTGTAAGTGTGTTGAATTTACATTAAATTACTTTAAAAAATATATCCCCCTCCCTAAACATTGTCTAATCTCTCTAAATTGATGCAGTTCATGGTAGAAATTCTATTTTCATATATCCCAACAATGTCTAATTGTAATTGAGTCCTGTTCGCTGATTATTTCTTGATAGTTATAGAAAATAAATTTTCATACGATTTTATTGTTTGGATATAAGAGGCTTAACTTTGTACAATGAGGTATTCTTATTGGCATTGTTATGAACAGGTATTGAGCTTGTTCTGTTCTTATATCCTATTGCTCTTTAAAACCTAAGCTTCTACTGGTATGGTACTTGATAGGTGGACTTTCTTTATCATAATGGAAAACTGAAATGTATAATATTAACAATTTATGATTTACATTGATGCATTTTCTTTAAATGGCAAACAGTTATTTTTTCTTATTTTTATTTCTAAAAGAAGGTATTAATTAATGTTGTTGTGTCTAAAGATTTGTTATATATAACATCATGGAAAGTATAACTTGTATATTAACTTGTTGCTTGTATTACTTCTTCGCAATGCAGTTTGTGTGTACGGATGCTGGACTGGTTTGATTACCATGGACATATGTGTATAGCATTTGATATGCTGGGTCTTAGTGTGTTTGATTTTTTAGTAAGTACATTTTCATTCTTTCTTTTTCTACTTTTTTTCTTTTCTCTCTTCTCTATATCTCTTCTCTCTTTATATCTCCTCTCCTCTATATCTCCCCTCTTCTCTATATCTCTTTATATCTCTATATCTCCTTTCCTCTCCCTATTTCTCCCCTCCTTTTCCTCTCCCCTCCTTTCCTCTCCCTCCTTTCCTCTCCCTCCTTTTCCTCTCCCTCCTTTCCTCTCCCTCCTTTCCTCTCCCCTCCTTTCCTCTCCCCTCCTTTCCTCTCCCCTCCTTTCCTCTCCCCTCCTTTTCCTCTCCCTCCTTTCCTCTCCCTCCTTTCCTCTCCCCTTTCCTCTCCCTCCTTTCCTCTCCCCTCCTTTTCTCCCTCCTTTCCTCTCCCCCTCCTTTCCTCTCCCTCCTTTCCTCTCCCCTCCTTTCCTCTCCCCTCCTTTCCTCTCCCCTCCTTTCCTCTCCCCTCTCTCTCTTCATGTTATAAAGAATCCTAATTATTTGCACAATGGAAAAAGTAAATTTTTTTTTTTTTTTTTTTTTAAAAAGTCTATTTACTTAATTCATTTTGGGATGGTTATTTTTTATCATGAGTTGATGACTTTGCTGATGGGCAGGTTTTAAACTTTAATTACTTTTTCTTCCAACAAATCTTACATGATTAAATGAAATCTAATATGTAACAGTAGAAGCATTTGTTCTTTGTATTAGCATTGGTTTAAGTGCCTAGTTGGGAAAAATTGTATTCATGCTCACCTTGAAAAAATATATTTAAAATAGAGCATCCACTTTTCAAATTATTATAGTAAAAATCATTATGCACTATTTTTCATCATACCTGTTATTAAATTCTCTCAATAGAAATAGAAACTCAGCAAGATAAGTTGACTTAGAAAAATAAATATGAAATATATATGTATTACTTCTTGACTTTTAGAATACCTGTAATTACTTTTATTTAAAGACAAAGGAAAGTGAAAAACATTAAGATGGCCGTTTTTTTGAGTAGGGTGAAAAATACAATATATTCTGCTAGTAATATTTGAAATGTTGATAATAAACAAGATATTTTTATTTTTGAAAAAAGAAGCAAGATTATAATTTGAGAATTGTTTTATCTGGGCAAGTGATACTAATTGTGATAAAATTGCCTTTAATAAATACATATGAAAAATAAAGAAAGCAAAAATGAATCTATCTTAAGTTTTGCATTATAAATTATGCAATAAATATTTTCCTGTTATAATTATTAGTGTATACTAAATCTTTATATCTATTCAGTCGACATAAAATAATATTGGAATAAAAGTCAAATTGTGACTGTACTTGTAATATTTACAGTTTCAATCTATTTCTGTTCTCTCTCTCTCTCTCTCTCTACAACTAGTGACAACTATTTTTTTCTGATTGGTTGTAAATAGATTGTAACAAGAACAGATTTTCCTCATTACATTTCTTTTATTTTTATTCAAATACTTTTCTGCAGATTCTAGCATTTAAAAAAAATATTGTGAAATTTTAAAACTTAAACTTGGTTAAAATGTTTTTCTGCTTCCAATTATTTATTTTTTTACCAAAGTATTTATTTTTCTATCTGTACTGGTCTTTTTCTCTTTTTATTAAATTATAATCAAATTGAGTAATTTATCTACTGTTGATGATAAATAATTAATACAGCTGCTATACATTTATATGTTCAATTTTCATGAAAATTGTTGATTTTAAATACACTTTGTTTGAGCTAAACTTATTCTAATTCATTTTCAGTTTTTATAAAATTCATTACTTGTGCAGCAATTATGAAGACAAATTCTTACAAACTTGTTCTTATTGTGTTGGAACTTCCTTTTGTTAATTACCTATCCTGTTTTGTTTGCACAGATTTCTGTTTTTTTTTTTTTTTTTCAAACCATGGGCAGTAGTAAATTGCACAACAATGACATTCAGTTAATTTGGCTATGTTTAGTCATGAGTTGATACTCTATTGATAGTTATATTTGGTTGGGAAGATTTGTAGAAAACAGAAAAATTTGATTCTGAAATATTTACTTAAAAAAAATATTAAATCATATTTAATAAAAAAAGAAGTAAAAAGATGTTGAAACTAGCTTAGCATTGCAATTTTGATTATAACTAGAATTCAAACACTTTGACATTTTCATAATCAGTTATTTGACCAGGGTTTTCTTTGATTATTTTTTTATAGTAAGGAAAGTTTCTAAGCTTATTTTAGAAGAAATTATTCATTGCAATAAATGTGGATAGTATAAGTTATTGGCAAGCAGGTTTCAAATCCATCCCAATGTGCAGCATTAATCCATCATGTCTCTCTTCATCGATTAGTTAAATAACAGGGTAAACTGAGTTCTCTAGCCTTGGGTGGTAGCAAGTTATTCAGAATTATGGAGAAGACAGAAACCACTCTATTTTTTTCAAGGAAGTCATGGCTCGTGTAAATTTTAATGTTTGAGCTAATTTAAGACAATTTTTAATTCAGCCCTTAGAAATTTTCTGTTTTGATAGTCAACTTCTGTGATAGTATTTAAAAATTTATTTAGCTTTTTACTTTGCTTATAAATGCCACAATTAAGTTTTTTCTTTCTCTCTACCTCTCTCAACAGAAAGATAACAACTATCTTCCATATCCTCTTGAACAAGTTCGACATATTTCCTACCAGCTATGTTATGCCGTTAATTGTAAGTATTTCTTTGACTAAACATTTTTTTTAGTTTTTTTATATTGGCTATCAAAAGAATCTACAGTTACTTGAATATTTTTGTAAATCTCAAATTTTTTAATTCTTCAAGTGGACATTGTTGCTGCACATTTTAAGTTATAATCATATTAATTATTTAAGGATGAGTTATTACTATGAAAAGAAAATTCTATGAAAATAGAAGTCTTGGACAGTTATATTAAACCCATTTTGTATTAGGCTATTAATATTTTAGAATCCTTATTTTTACCTTGATAGATCTGTTTCTTTAACTTCGTTTCAAAAAATTAGCAAGATTATGGTAAATCTTTTAGTAAGCTAAATGCTTAAAAACATTTTCAATGTGACCTATGTATAAACAATCAGCATTAGATACCAGGTATTGGAGATTGAAGGTACAATGGTTTTTATACTATATGCTCTTCTAAATCCTCTTTATGCTGATAGAGGAAAGATTGGGAATTCTGGGGTGAAAAACTTGTTATAAATTACTAAATAATTCGTAACATGTTTTTACCTTAGAAGCCCCAATTTTTTATTTTTATTTTTTTTTTAACTCCTAATACTCTTGAGTTTAAGTTTATATTGTTTATATCCGGAAATAGTGATGTATGCCTCAGCTGAATCTCATCATCTGTTCTATAGCTGGGTGTGGTTGCAGGGCTGCTGTGCAATTAACAAGTTCCTTCCACATATCAGAGTTGAAAACCAGAGAAATATTCATGTGTAGCATGTCTTGGGCAAGTTGACCTCGTGGAACCCATCCCTCTTCAGGTCAAACCCTGCCAATGTCCTCCAACTTAAAGGCTTCCTTTTGTCAGTGGATGTTGATTACATCGGTAAAACACTCTTCCCTAGTTGTTGACATCCATAATGCCATGTCATTGCTGTGCTGGCTGCATACATAGCTATGCTATGGATCTCAGTCTACTTCATTGAGCCAGATGGCCATTGACCCCTACAAGAATGTTCCTCTCCCTTTTGACAGGTCTTTTTGTAATTCTGCTGGGTGTCTAGCTAACCTCATCACCAGAAAAGCCTGATCAGCAAATTGGTTTAGTTGCTGATGACCCTACTATGTGGCTGGTAGTACTCGGTTACATGATATCCATAGCATTCATAAAGTAACCTATACTGATATTTGAAGAATATCAAACATCTGCTAATTAAAATGTTAACTTTACAATGGGTGTATAGAACTCCTTACATGACCGTATATCATTAGACAATAAGCCTATAATTCTGATATTTTGTTGTTTTTCAGTTCTTCATGAAAACCAGCTTACTCACACGGATCTGAAACCAGAAAACATACTGTTTGTTAGCTCAGATTTTGATGTTACATATAATGCTAAAAAGGTACTTTATCCCTCATAATCCATTATAACATTAATTGAAAATGATTGCTAAAATATTATTTAACCAGTTTATGCTTTTTTGATGGTATGAGCAAAATATTTTTTTATTTGAAGGGAATCTGAAGCGAGGGTATTGATATTTTTTTTTTTTTTTTCAAAACTAATTTGTGAGGACTTAATTATTACTTTCATCTTTGTTTGCAACATAACAATTGCCAATAAGCACATTTTCAAATTCTTTTGCAGAGGAGAGATGAACGCAGAGTGAAAAACACAGACATACGGTTAATAGACTTTGGATCTGCTACATTTGATCATGAACACCACAGTACAATTGTATCAACAAGGCATTACAGAGCACCTGAAGTCATTTTGGGTAAATTTTAGTCTGCATTTAAAAAATCTATTGCATTATCACTCTTTCAGTATGAAAGAAAATATTTTTGTTCCAGTTTTAATCCAATTGATTAAAACTTCTATTTTGCCAGATGATCTATTTAACTTTTGATAAGTAACAATTGTATATTGAATCATTTGAATACATTTGTTTATTTTTCTACCTTTTGGCAAATCTTTGTAAATGTTGATCTTGTATTGAATTTTTCTTAAAATGTTTGTTATTGTAATGTCTGACACTTCAGATTTTACTTTCTTTTCTATTAGTTTTATCACTTCCAATAGTACTTGTAATCTGTTTTGTTTATTTTTAAAAAATTATTTATTTTCAGAATTAGGGTGGTCCCAGCCCTGTGATGTTTGGAGCATAGGTTGTATCATGTTTGAGCTCTACACTGGATACACATTATTCCAAGTGAGTGAAAATTGATGGCTCCTCTCACTTAAAATAGTAACACAAGGAGAGGAAGAAAAAAAACAAAAAAACAACTCTTTTAAGTAATCTCTCTCTCATCTGTGTGTGCACACACACACACACACACACATATATATATATATATATATATATATATATATATATATATACACACAATTTATTTTAGGATATTACAACAAAAACATGTAAAAAAAAAAAATTGCTACACAATTGCAGTCGACACCTAACAATGCATCTCCTTGGCGATTGCTGATTTGTTGTAATATCGTAAAATAAATAATATCGCTCTATTATGTACTGAGCCCTCTTTTAAATTAAATTTTACGAACATTGAAAGTGTACTCTATTTGTTCTCATCAATACCATGAGATATATATGAATAAGAAAATCTATTATATCATTACTGATATGCCACTATCACTGATGGAGTAAGTGTAGACAGGTCATAGATTCTTCTTCTCTGCTTACTCTTATTTTCTTAAAACTCAGGTAGGAAAATATTTGTAATTAGCACTTAATAGACTTGTAATTATCTTCTTCTTTTTTTTTCTCCCTCTCCCCACCTACAAAATATATACTTAATTATAATTAACTTGGAAACTGGTGGCCCAATTGGACTTGATATTGCTTTATTCTTCAAGTTAGGATAATACCATTAAAATGCTCTGGTAAAATTTGTGCTAGGATGTGCTGTTACACTAAGAAACATACAGAAATTATATTAATAGTGATAAAAATGAACCTGTTAAACCAAAAAAGAATTGTGCTGTAAAGTAGTAATATTGGAATACGAAAGACAATAAAAAAGCAGCTTAATAGTTTATCAGTCCTCTCTCATCAGAGCTTAATCAAGGACAAGAATTGTGCACAGCAACTAAAATAAACCTCAAAGACCAGAGGTTATATAATAAATATATAACAGTTACATTTAAGCCTTACAACCACTCTTGCTTTCAGAGTGTTGGCTAGCAGGACTAAATATCATTTCATTCAAATGAAATTTGGAGTTAGCTTTCTTTACTGAGAACATCCTGATTATGAATCCTATAGTAAAGGTTTATTCCTTGATTCCTGTTTATGATTGAGTTCTGGTTCCTTCTAAAATCTTTTCATTCTCTTTCTCCCAGTATTCCCTTGTGTCTTAGTGGTATTATTGCCTTGCTTGTGGTTGAATTGATTAATATATATATATTTATGTGTGTGTGTCTGTGTCTGATTTTATTATAAAAGTTAATTTTTTCTTTTTCAATAAAATTGATATTAACCAGTAGTTGATATTTGTAAAATTTTCAGAGTGTGTGTATATATATATATATATATATATATATATATATATATATATATATATATAGTTTTTCTTCTAATATATACCTTTTTATTAAAAATATTGGTAATTGTTTTTGAGATGTCTGGTTTTATTATACAAAGTGCAACACAAATTTTTATTTACTAGAAACATGTGATACAAGCATACATTTGATTAACACTATCTTACATATCCAAATAAAATACTTTTTCTATTTTCCATATTGATATAGCTTTCTCAACATTCTATAACCATCAATTTTTTTCAGTTCATTGATCTCTTTAATTAACTTTCTTACTATTTCAACTCTAATTTTATTTGCAACAGGTTTTATTGACCTTCTTTGTTTGTATATTGTTTTCCATTCTTATATACATCTCTTTATAAATTTGGATCACAATTTTTTTTTATTGGATTAATATCTAGAGAGGCTGGGAGACATTTTCATTCATTTGGTGTCTTTAAAGCTTTCTTTTATAGTCACCTTTGTAAAGTGAATCCATATTCTTACATGAATATACTTTTTAGTGTAAAGTTCCTTGATTGTAATCTGTTCCACTCACAAAACATATTGTCCAAGAACTTAATAACCTTGTTTGCTTAAAGTTGTTAGATTAGGTTGCTTTCATTTCTTTAATCAATGTTCTGAATGACTAAAATGGAATATCTTTTGATTTCCATGCAGAATCAAATAAAAACCCAACACCTGGTTAGTGTTCTAAAACTTTTGTTTATTATAAGGAAATTGAATAGAGGCCGAGTTTTGCAACATTATCTTATGCTGATATGATACAATGTAGTAATTGTCCCTGTGCATTCACTCATTCAGTCTGCCTAACAAAGTTTCTCTGTTATGGTGGTTAGGTGGACTGCTTTCTTGCAGTTAATCTCAGGCTCCCAAGATTATTCCATTCTCTGAAAACCAGATGCCCCTAATGCTGACAAGTGACCCAAGACCTAGTATTTGAGCCTCCTATAATTCTATAGAGAATTGGCTTAGTTGTATAAAATGTCTTCATAAGTTGTCCCATTTACATTTTATCAAAGAAGACATTAATCACATTAACCTCAGACTACATGGGTTAGAGGGCGGAATGGGTGAATTTTAATACTGGATTTACCTACTCTTGATAAATTGAATCAATGTTCAATCCTTGCTGGTTCTGTTTTGACCATTCAGTTATAGGTTCTAATTAAAATTTTTAATTGGTTCCTTTATCATTCTCTGCTTCAGGATTTTTCTTATCTACATTTGTTTTATTGCTACAAGACTTCTAAAGAATGATTTCATTTACAAATGAGGACCTTACCCAATTACACTGATAAAACAATGAAAATTATTGCTGTTTAAAAACAGACAGCACAATAACTGTTTGAAAATAGAGTAGAGTTTGATGCCTTACCAAAGGTATGAAAGTAATAATTCACTATAGAAAATAAAGCTGTCTATGATAATTAGATATAAAATTTTGATGTATTTTATATAAACACACTACAACTTCATTAGCAACATTCATTAAAGAATCTATAAATAGTAATAATTCCAAAGCCCAACACGATCTCCACCTATCAAGTTATGTAATGCCATATCAAATTGATTGAGGAGTATTAAATTTCTTTCATTATGTTTTCAGACTTATTTAATTTTTACCATGAACTATTAGTAAAATAAAAACAATGACAATTTTCCCCAGGTAGAATTTGTATAAAATTCCTTAATTTTTATTGTATTACATGTGCTATGTGTAAATCTTGTGGAAAAAAAAGCCTCCTCTTTTTTTCAGACTCATGACAATAAGGAGCATTTAGCAATGATGGAGAGAATATTAGGCAGTATACCATACAGAATGGCCAAAAAATCTAGGTGAGTGTTTTAAATCTGTTTTGTCATTTGCATTTACAACTTAGATAAAAATTAAATAATAAAAGTAATATTTCTGCTCTTGTTTAACCTTAAAATTTTTAACTGCATTTTCTTTTAATCATATAAGCACTTCAATTAGAAGAAGTCTTAAAATAGTCAAAGCTATAAAAATCATTTTAAGGTGTTGATGCAACTATAGCATCATGGTGCAGAAGAACTACTCTACTGCAAGTTTGATAAACTTCACTACATCCTCTGATACATGAAAAAAACACTTATTTGTTTGAGGAGAGTTGTAGAGAAAAAGTCTCTGTCAGGCCATCCCATTCTAAAAATGGAATTTCTGCATAAGTATTAGATGACCCCCTCCTCTGCCTGTGCACATTTAACAAGAGGGTAACAAAGACATGTTTGTACTTGATACACATCTATTTTCACAAATTGTGACTCTTGTTAAAATGAAATCTTGAATTACTAGAAAGCCATTTGTTGAGAACTTGAAATATTTTTACTTTGTTCACAACATTTAATTAGTAAAGAATTCAGATGAGAATTTCTAACAAAATTAATGAAAAAATGCTTTATTTTAAAAGTAGCTGATGACAGTAGGTATCAAAACAAATTCATTGCAACTTAATTTTCTTTGTTTCTGACATGTAAGTACATAAAAATCGTTTGTTCATGCAACTCTTAAATGATGGTGAAAGGAATCCTTCTTTCTACAAACTGTGTACTTAAATATAGAAAGCCATGTGTAGAAAATTATCATTATAGCAATAAATATATTTAATGTATTTTTCCTTGTATAAAAAGTGACAGAAAGCCCAGAAAGAATTTACAATATATCTGCTAATTGCTGTTCTGCTATCAAATTGTTAATAGATTAAACTCATTAAAATATTTAAGCATTTAAAACATTTAATTTCTGGTTTCAAGTTCCAATGTACATTATAAAAAAAATCAAGTTATCACATTTGACAAACCTGCTATATTGATGCACTAATTAAATTAAAAAAAAAAAATCAAGTTTCTCAAGTGACATGTTCAAAACTGTATGTACATTTCTTTCAGATGTTTCTAAATATCTTTAACACTTTCTCTACATAAACATTTGTTAAATTAAAACAATCATAAAATTCTTTAGTAAAATTAAATTTTTACAATTCATTTTATTTTGTAATTTTTCCATATATTCTTAAAGCAAAGTTATGAATAGCAAAAAGAAAATTTATTGTTTAAATTTCTAATTTTATCACTGTTGTTTTAAGAACAAATTACTTCTGGCATGGTCGCCTTGATTGGGACCCTACCACTTCTGCTGGGAGATATGTAAGGGAAAACTGTAAACCCCTTTATGTAAGTACCTCATCAGCTGAGGCTGTTGTACCTACTACCATAGCTGCACATTAGTGCAACAAGAACAGCTGCTATTATTATTATTATTATTATTATTGCTACTACTACTACTATTATTACTACTACTCTGGCTGCTGCTATTTGCCAATTAGCAAGAATACTGATAATGTTGTGTGACTTATTTTCCTAAATATTCCACCAAAGACTTGGTATAACCTATTAAGATTTGAAACATTGTTGATAGTATAAGTGGTAATAAAACCCCAGTTTATTTCTTTCTCCTGAAGAAAGACTCTTTTTGACTGTTGCCTCTACTGCTTCTTTCCAAGAGAAATCTGTTTCATATCTGTGCACAATGTTGACAATTCTTTGCATTAAATGACTATATTGTGAATAATGTTATTCATAGCTTGGTTAAACTCTTGGATTCACATTTTGAATTCAACTAAATCTTATATTAAATGTATTTTGTAATTGATGACATTAGCCATTTTTTTTAAATGTCTCTACCCAAATATATCTTAACAGTTAGTTTTTTTTAAACTAGTAAAGCTATCCAATATTTGGAACTTTATTTAAGTTGGTTCATCTCCTCTTCATAAATTAAAAAGAAATAAACTAAACTAAATGTGTTTATGAACCTCTTACAACACTAAAAGAAATTCCTCTTTCAGAATTTTTTAATCGGTATTGACTTTCAAATTTAGTATTAATATCTCCTAGGTGTTTTTTTTTTTTTTTAAGGGGGGGGGCTTTTATCTGACATATGCCCAAGATTTTTGCTGCCTTTAACATAAAAATATAGATACATCACTGATATTTGGTAACTTATGATCCAACACCTCTTTTTTTTGATCTGAACAAAAAGGCTAAATGGCATTTGAAATTCTCACTATTCACATAGTGACCACAAGTGTTAGAGTGGTTCTCGATTTTGTGATATTTTCAGTTATTTTGCTTAATTCAAGTAACATCTTTTAAGAGTAGATTTACAGAGTATAAACACCAGCTCATTCATCATTGAAAAAAACTTGTGATCATAGGATAGTTGGCCAAAGAAGATGCCATAGTGAATGTATTTTTGATTCTGGTTTATCTACAAGTTCCTAATCTGATTTGTCTGGAAACAAAGAAACCTGAAAATGGTGGTGTACTTTATTTAATACAAAAGAAGTTAATATCTGTGCACAAAGCTGATCAAAAAACTTATCATTGCTAAACCTTTAAGAGAACAAGAATGGAAAATGATCATTGTTCAGGTGTTCAGGTCATTAACATTATTCAGTTCTTATTCTCCTTTATTGGCAATAGCAACCAGTTAGCCAGTCAGGCAATGCATGTATGTTTTGTCCATATACTCTGTTTGCCTCTTGTTTTGCCTGCAGAAGTTTTTTTCTTCTTTGTACACCCAACTGAGGCCCCTGCAGCTGCATTTTGTCGTTCCTGTTTTCCCTCCCACCCTTTATGTACATAATAATCTCCCAGCATTTTCATTAATTATAATTATTTTATTAATCTCCTCTGTTTCTTTTATTAAATGGTTTGTTTATTGTTGCCAGATAGTGTTTGGTTCATGTCCTGACTTGAAATATAGTTTTTTATTTTTATATATATATATATATATATATATACGACATTTTTTCTTTTTGGCTCCTTTTAATAATTTTGCTCATGTATACAGAATAAGTTCCTTAAGTTTTTAAGAACAAATGTTTTGATGTGTCTTATACAAGAAATTATTCAGTCATGGTAAAAAATGCTTTAAATCAAAAACGTAACTAGTCTTAAATAACACCAAGAACAACTGCACAAATTTTTGATTGCATCTTTTTATGTTTATATAATGCTCAACTTTGCTTTATTCTACTATGTTTCTTCACAAAAAATATTTCTAGTGAAATGAAAATTGATCTGTTTCGAAGGAGGCAGCATATCATGTTTTTACTTTAATCTGTGAGCAAACTTATTTAAAAGGAACTGCAAATGGAAAAAGGTCTAAATGTTTTTGTCAGTTGGTTGCCATTGTGCAAGAATTTGTGTGCTAGTGTGCAAACAACATCCAATGACATCTTGACCACCATATCACACCAGTTGCTATGGTTGCATGTTGCATGGCTAATTTCCATATTGGCTCATCTTGCTTTGTTTGTTTCTTTTTTTTTTTTTCTATCCCCCCACTCTCCCCACTTGTTGTGGAAGAAAAAGCAAGTATTTCTACCATGGTAGATTGGATTGGGATGAGAAGAGCTCCTCAGGACGCTATGTTCGGGAGAATTGCAAACCCTTAAAGGTGAGTAAGGAACTAGTTAACATGTGAATGTTTCTATTAAAAATTCAGTGTAAAACACGCAAAAATAGTGGACCTTTCAAATTGTTCATTCTGCCAAGCTTATGAACTGTTCACAAAAGAGAAAAAGATTAAATTTCATAAAACCTTGTAGCTTTTTAAAGTCAACTCAGTTTATATATGATGTATGTATTTCTTACTACTTTAACTGTTATATTTAATGTGTTTGATTAGATATCCCTGATTTTTTAAACAGTGTAAATGTGTCTACTGACCTGTGTGCACTCTCTTTCACACATACGTGTGTGTGTGTGTGTGTGTGTATATATATATATATATATATATATATATATATATATATATATATAGGAGTGTCTACTACAAATCAGTGTAGCATTATCAAATTCTGTAACATGTTATACATTCTCCTTAGTCTTCATCCCTGTCCCTTATTTCTGTTATATATCATATTGTTCCCACCAATATTTTCATCTGCTTTTCCCATTATAGATAATCTTCATATATCAGACACATCCTTTTTATAATTAGTATATCTTAGTTATGCAATTTTACCAAATTGAAAGTTTTAAGACTTATTTTACCAATTAATATTTTTCTTCTACCAAGTAAATACCTTCCCCATCTCATCTAGTCTCTTGCATGTTTTTAGAATATTCTGTCCACAATTAGTCCTGGAATTTATCATTTGACTTTCAAGCATTGTACAGATGGTGTGCAGTATGGCTGACATTTTTTACCTTGATTTTATTTACATTTTCATTGAAATGGCATCAATAGAGAAGGAAATGTTTTGATCACTATTTTAAGTCTTATTCCAATAAAAAATTATGCATGCAAAAAAATATCAAACGAATCTAAAATAAAAGGGTTTTTAGTCTTGTCTACATGTTGGTACATTTAAATCATCACTGTCATCTAAAGTTTTTGACCAGTCATGTATCAATGGAAATTATTTTAGTCTTAGCTTCTTTTTTTTTTTTTTTCTTTTTCTTTTTTTAAAATAGAACTTTAGCATTTAGGTAATGTTATTTTTTCTTTTCTTTAATGTGTTTTTTTTTTTTTTTTATACAAGGTATACAATTGTTTTATAACCAAACTTCAAAAAGGGAATGATGCATAACTACTCATATCAAATATGTTGGCTATAGTTAGAAAGTAAGCTGCTCTTACTACTCTTAGATCAAAATTGATGGTTATGTTATTAAACATTATTTTATGAAAGTTTTGAAATAGGTTGATCTATTGATATGGTAGAATTTTTTTTTTTTTTTTTTTTTTTTTAGGCAGGGAGGTTAGAAAGAATGTGTTGTGTGTATTTGTATGATAGATTTTGATTTTACTAAATCCTTTTGTCACTGGTGCCTGCATTTTGAAATCTGCTCATTTATTTGACAGAAGTGGACTGTATTTCAACACTAACATTTTTGTCTTTCTTTTTGCAGCATGATTTCACATTTTTCTTCTAACAATGAGCATGACTAGATTTTGAAGTTCAAATTGTTTTTTATTTTAATATATGAAAAATGAATATTCCAGTTTAGTAGGGACTTGCTAAAGGTAGGTATGGAAAAAGTTCTCAGCCAGACCCTAAATTGCCCCTGCTCCCTCCTAAAAAAAAAAAAAGTTAACTTCAACTTTTGGGAAGTGGGTCAGGCCAAGAACTTTTCACCATCCCTCCTATGTTAATGCTGGTATCTTATTTCAATTGAATGAAAAAATATTATTAATCATTATTACTGTGCTAATATCAATTCTCTTTTTATATTTAAACCATACAATTTTAAAATATTTAAATTTATTTTAATTGGTTTCATTTGCTCATAACAATTTTTATCATTTTATCTGTTATTATTTATAATTTCATCTACTCATTGAGCAAAATTTTTCAAGGCTTTGAATTTCTTGTCTTCCATATCATATGCTTGCATTGTATAACTGTCAGCCATGTTTGCCTGTTGCTCATTTTTTGTAAATATTTCAAAGTGTAAAGCTGTCAAATCATGTCTTACATTTATCATATTCAACATTCCATAATATAGTGTGAGCAATTGATATTTGTTTCATTTGCTGTGCTCTTGTTAAAATGTGTACTATTATTGGATTGATGTTATTTCTTCATAAACATTTATCTGTATCTGTCTATATTTCTGAGATGAGGTATTATAATCACTATTTACATTATTCGGACTATTGTCCTCATCTTTGTCGCCATGTTTATTATGTTTCGGACATTGTACGCTCCGGCCTTCTTCAGGTGGTTGGAATGTCGAACTGAACCTTTTATTTTGCTCACTGGGGTAGACTGTTCTAGTTCATGGCACAATGGGTAAAGGTGTTAGATTCAGTGACAGGACCCAAAAGAGTGAGAGTTCAATAGCTGGTTAAGGCAGTAGAGAACTTGAAGAGGGGAATTAACAGGAGATAACTGACATCCATTAGACATGGCATGTGGAACTAGAACAGTCTACTCCAGTGAATGAAATAAAGGGTTCAGTTCGACATTCCAACCACCTGAAGAAGGCTGGAGCATACAACAGCTGAAACGTAATAAATATGGCAACAAAGATTCGGACAATAGTCCGAATAATGTAAATAGTAAACATTTATCTGTTTATGTATATTGCTGGGGGAGGGACTCAAAAGTTCAAAATCTTGTATCTGCTTTTACAAAATTATTTCAATATTTGAGATT